CGGCTTATACACGAGTATATATGGTAATTATTGGATTGCAATTCCTTTTTCAGACCTTTATATATGTTATCTCATTGGCTTCTCCATGATTTCTGCTGAGATAGCAGGGCTGGGTCATTGATTCTCCTTTGTAGGTAACTTTTAATTTTTCCCAAGCAGCTCTAAGGATTCTTTCCTCGTCTTTGGTTTGGGAATGTTTGATTTTGTTATCTCTTGGTGATTTTTTTGAGGAGTTTCTCTCGTTTGGAGCTTATTCAGCTTCCTGGATGCATATCTTGTCTTTGATGATAATTGTCTTACAATAAGTCTTTGACAATATTCTTTTCTTTAAAAATCTCATCCTGCTCAGAAATTATGATCATGTTGTTATTCCTCACGAGACTGTTACATTTTCTCCTATTTTTCCTTCTTTTCACTGATTAATTTCGAGATCTTTGTCTTCAAGCTCACAAGTTTATGAATTTCATCGATTCAATTCTACCTCTTTGCCATTCCAATGCTTTGTCTATTTCTAAAATCTTAGTACTAATCTTCTCTACTTGCCGTGTTTCATGGTTTCTAAGTTTTCATATATTTTATCATTTTGTTCTTGTAGTGTTTTCTTGAAATTTTCTAATTTTTTCCTATGTTTTCTTTTATTTCATTTACATCTTTCTTGATACTCACCCCATCTGTTTAAAGTCCCTCCTCATCATTCTTTTGGCTTCCTCACAGGTAGTTCCAACGCCACTTCTCCTTCCAAAGAGCCTTCTAGCTCCGTGTTGTGGGCACTTGTTTGAGTCACTCTGTCTTGCTGCTCTGTGAGAACTGAAATGATCTTTTATCTTGGAGACATGGTTGCATGTTTTATTTGTATTTATTTGATGACTGTTGATGTGTTCTTAGGCAATCACTAGCTGTATAATAAAGAATATTATTGTGTGTGTGCAGTTCTTTGTTTGCTGTTGCTGTAGCATAGCCAAGGGTATGTTCACTTGATTTGGCTCCTGTCTATTGATCAGGTAGAACAGGAGTGGATATTAGCCCTTGCCCAAGAGGTGAAGCTGTCTGAATGTAGGTGTGGCTGGGCTGTGTAGGCATAGTTGCTGTCTTCTGATATGTGGGGAAAAGAAAACAATCAAACAAACAAGAAAAACAAACGGCATTTTACAAAAAGAATGAAGAATAAAAACAAGTGGGAGAAAGCAGGCAAATGGCAGCAAGACAAAATAATTTAATCAAAGAAAGAAAGAAAGAAATGGGAATGGAAAAAGAAAGGAAGAAAGAAAATAAACAAAACTAGGGAGGGGGTGGGAAACAAGAAACAGAGGAAAGAAAAAAGAAGAAAAGTAATCAGAAAAATAAAGTATGAAAACAAGGGAAATGAAAGAAAAACAAACAAATAGAGAAAATTGAGCACCAGGGCACCCAGTATGTGCTGCATCTCTGCTAGCCAAGGAGTTCACAGGGTATAGTGGGGAGGGTGGAGGGTGTGGAAAACAGTTCTAGGTAGAGTTAGGGTCAGTTTAGATGGATCTAGAAGTAGTTCGTACTGGCTGAGGTTAGGGTGC